GAGCAGGCTTGCAGCTGGGGGAACTCTGAACAGTTACTCACAGGAGCCATTACTGGGGCTCCTCCCTTGCTACCAGACAAACCCACCACAGCATGAGATGGAATATACCACTGGCTAATTTGGGTCTCAGTCTGACCTACCATCACATCCTAGGCCAGTAACTGGAGCTGTGCTCCCTCCCAGCTTCTCCTGCCCCTGCAGACATTGGCACAGCAGAGAAGCTGAAAAATCCCTGAGTGTCCTGGCAGCAACTATAAACATCAGTGTGTTTGATCAGCCTTCTCAGCACAAACCCAAAACAGAGCCTCACTAGCTGCTGTGAAGACAGGTAACTCTGTCCCAGCCAAAACCAGGACAGTCCCCATTCTGCGACAGGCACTGGCTTGGCACGGGCAGCCAGCATGGCTCTCCCAGCAGGGCAGGCTGCTGCCATGACCCGTCAGAGGTGTCTGGCTTGGGGAAAGTCTCTGCCTTGGTCCGTGCTGCCCCACCACAGCCCGACACTGAACACACATCCCCAGCTGCAGCAGCCTTGTGTTCACTCACACATCTGTCATTTCTGAGTACTGATATGTTCATAAATGGAGAGAGATTGTTTTGATTGGGATTTTAGCATTGCAGGTGATGAACAGTATAATACAAACGTGTTTGGGGAGACAAACTGTCCAATTTTTTCAGCTAATTAATTTAATTAGGATTTATTTGGTTAATTTATACTTGGTAAGATGGAGCCTGCAGCAGCTGGCAGCTGTTCTCAGCACAGCTGCAGAATTCAACCTGTAATGCAGACAGATGCCCCTCCTGAGAGCTGGACCACTGGCCAGAAGTTCAAGCAATGTTTCATCCACTTGCAGTGCACAAGGGAGCAAGGGGAGGCTGTCGCAGGGAAATGCTTAACAGCAGGACCAGAGGGTTCTTTCAGAGCTAGCCTGATCCAATAGCTGTCAGACAGTCAGCATCAACGCATGGATCGTGGGCAGTGAGGGACAAGGGACTGGTGGGGGTGTCTGTCTGTCACTTAAAGTCAGCCAAGCTATGTTGGATGTCTTCCCAAAGGGCAGTATTGCACCACGTTTAGCAGTCTCCTGAGGAAAACTGCTTCATCTGGCCAACGTTACGCAAAAATGGTGACAACAATTCATTCTTGCCATATAACGCAGCGGGCATACTGAGGCTGAAGGTCCTTGCTCATGCATGCAGCCAGGCTGCTCTCGCTGCCCTCTGAATGTGGCTGATGATTCGATGATGCAGCACCTGCATCCTTGTGTCTCAGTGCCTGCTGTGCGGGCCAGCCTCCTCTGGTTCTGCCCACCACTGCCTCCCAGCAAGCTACTGGGATCTTGCTTCATCTCCCTGTTACTGTCATGCAGCACAGAAATAAGACATTCTAATTTTATAAAATTCATATGATTAAACTCTGTAGCATTTAATCATTTTGGAGACAATGAAGCAAACCACAGGGGAAGGTGGCTTGCTCCATCAGTGTGTCACAGGGCTTTTGCTGGCTGGAGCTGCACTAAATCCTGTCCAGCCGCCCTCTAGGCTCTTGTGGCCTCCCTCATTGCTATACCCCACCGACACCTAAGGGCCTCTCTAAAATACTTTTAACAGCTCTTTGTTAATGGGAATCCAGATTTTATTGATTTAGGGAAAAAAAAGGCATGTCAGCTTCTTCAATACCACGCAGACTTTTTTTGAGCTGGCCATCTTCCACATCCACCATGTAAATCTCTGTGCATCCCTCTCCCTTCTACCTCCTCCAGGTCTTCCCTTCTCTCCTTATTTCAGGGAGGGTTTGATGTCTCAGAGCCAGAAGGTCCCTAGTCCTCAGTGTCAGCAGTCCCCTCCTGCTCTTGATGGCAACACCTGGTATCCCTCAGAGCTTAACCCTTTCCTCTAGAGAGACACGCGCACTCAGGTTGAGGGACCAAGGGAAGTGTGACACATACAAAGCCACCCACGGGAATGTGCTCCCCTCCATCGCACATGTGTTTATGAAGGTTACTTTAGTTATGGTTTTCCTGCCTCAGAGGTGGGGTACAGACAAGCTGATTACCAGAAATCCCTTCCAGCCCATGATCTGTTCAAGGAGTTAGTAAACAGCGCCCCCGGTAAACTGCCATCTGGGACAAGGGAGCAGAACAGAGCTGGCAGATCTTTAAGGATGCTTTCCACAGAGTGCAAGAGCTCTCAGTCCCCAGGTGTAAAAAATCAGGAAAGGAAGGCAAGAGACCAGCATGGATGAGTTGAGACCTGCTGGTCAAACTAAAGGGCAAGAAGGAAATGCACAGGCAGTGAAAGCAGGGAGAGGTATCCTGGGAGGAGTATAGAGTTGTGTAGGCATGGGGAAGGAAGGCCAAGGTGCAGCTGGAGCTGAACTTGGCAAGGGACACAAATAATAAGAAGGGCTTTAAAGGTATGTCATCCAGAAAAGGAAGGTCAAAGAAAGAGTACCCTACCTGATGAATGTGACTGGCAAACTGGTAATAACAGATGAGGAGAAGGCTGAGGTACTCAACAACTTTTTTGCCTCAGTCTTCACTGGCAGCCTCTCTTCCCACACCTTTCAAGGGTATGGACCACAAGACAGGGACTGGGGGAACAAAGTCCTTCCCATGTAAGAGATCAGGTTCGTGACCACCTGAGGAACCTGAATATACATGAGACTATGGGATCTGATGAGATACATCCCAGAACCCTGAGGGAATTGGCTGATGTAGTTGCCAAGTCACTCTTCATAATATTTGAAAAGTTGTGGCAGTCAGGTGAAGTCCCTGGTGACTGGAAAAAGGGAAACATGACGCCCATTTTTAAAAAGGGTAGAAAGGAGAACCCTGGGAACTACCAACCTGTCAGCCTCACCTCTGTGTCTGGGAAGATCATGGAACAGATCCTCCTAGAAGCTATGCTAAGGCACATGGAGGACAGGGAGGTAATTCAAGACAGCCAGCATGGCTTCACTAAGGGCAAGTCTTGCCTGACCAACCTAGTGGCCTTCTATGATGGAGCGACTACATCACTGGACAAGGGATGAGCTACGGATGTCATCTGTCTGTATTTCTGTAAGGCCTTTGACACAGTCTCCCACAACATCCTTCTCTTTAAATTGGAGAGATAGGGTTGATAGATGGACTATCCAGTGGATAAAGAATTGGTTGGATGGTCACATCCAGAAAACAGTGGTCAACAGCTCAATGTCCAGATGGAGATCAGTGACAAATGGTGTCCCTCAGGGGTCCATACTGGGACCAATACTGTTTAATATCTTCATCAACAACATAGACAGTGGGACTGAGTACACTCTCAGCAGATTTGCAGATGACACCAAACTGAGTGGTGAGGTCATGTGGAGGGTTGACCCTGGCCAGCCACCAGGTGCCCACCAACCCACTCTATCATTCCACCTCCATCAGCAGGACAGGGGGAGATAATACAATAAAGAGCTTGTGTCCTGGTATCAATACAGGCTGAGGGGGGGATGAAGGAATTGAGAGCAGCCCTGTGGAGAGGGACTTGGTAGTACTGGTGGATGAAAAGCTGGACATGAGCCGGCAACGTGCGCTCACAGCCCAGAAAGCCAGCAGTATACTGGGCTGCATAAAGAGGAGTGTGGCCAGCAGGTCAAGGGAGGCAATTTTACCCCTCTGCTCTACTCTGCTGAGACCGCACCTGGAGTACTGCATCCAGCTCTGGAGTCCTCAGCACAGGAAAGACATGGACCTGTTGGAGCAGGTCCAAAGGAGGGCCACAAAAACGATCAGAGGGCTGGAAAACCTCTCCTAGGAGGACAGGCTGAGAGAGTTAGGTTTTTAGCCTGGAGAAGAGAAGGCTCCAGGGAGACCTTATTGTGGCCTTTCAGTGCTTAAAGGGTGCTTATAAGAAAGATGGGGACAGACTTTTTAATAGGGCTTGTAGTGATAGGACAAGGGGGAATGGTTTTAAACTAGAAGGTAGATTCAGACTAGACACAAGGAAGACATTTTTTTACAATGAGGGAGGTGAAACACTGGAGCAGGTTGCCCAGGGAGATGGTAGATGGCCTATCCCTGGAAACATTTGAGGTCATGTTGGACTGGGCTCTGAGCAGTGTGATCATTGCAGAAGGGTTGGACTAGCTGATCTTTAAAGGTGCCTTGCAACCCAAGCCATTCTATGATCTGCATGTGCAGGACATTTCTTCCTGTACACTCATTACTGCCAGATAGACCCACCGGGTTGCAGGAGATGGTTTTTCAAAAGACCAGCGAGGTGGCATGGCTATGCCACAGAGAACACACATTTCCCACTGCAGTCCAGCACACTGAGGGCAGGAGGGCAGACAGCACGTGGATGCTTCTCCAGGGTGAGCAGGAGCTTCCCCATTCTGTTTTCCCTTCTCCCAACTGCTGCTGCTAACATGCCTGTTGTGGTTTTGGTTTAGATTACAGCAACACATACAACCTCCACCGGCCTGCTGCAGCAGGGCACACGGGAAAGAAAGAGAGCGGGTTGGTGGGTGGCTCTGCCACCAGCGCCGGAGCAGCCACAGCTCCAGCTGACAGGGCTTCGGACTCGGAGCTCATCAGCTTTTGCTACCTGCACATGCGAGAGCAGAGGAAGGAAAGAGAGAGCAGGATGGATATCAATGAAAACCTGATTTTTTTTGAGGAAACTCGTCCCAGGACCAAATCTGACCCTACTTCCAAAAGCTCTGGCCAAGGCTATAATGGGGCAGCTAACAAGTATGACCCGGATGGCCTCGACCAAGACAGACAGGCGAGCAGGGCCAGAGCGCACACCATAGATACTCACTTGCGGAGCGACACCTTGCACTTCTGCGAGTCCTGCCAAGCCAAAATCAAGAGCCGGCTGGCCTCATGCAAGGGGAGCAAGCCCAGCAGCACCCGGGACAATATGGTGGACTTAATGTCACTTCCCCCTCCTGGTAGTGATGAGGAAGAAGACGAGACTACATCCCTGCTCCCTGCCATTGCCGCTCCTCCTCCTGGCTTCCGAGACAACAGCTCGGATGAGGATGACCCCAAGCGCCGGGCAGCTGCACAGAGCCAGGAGCAGGGCCGACATCTCTGTGGCATCCTCTATGATGAGATCCCTGTCACGCTAATAGACAACGTGCAACCACGGACAGTCCGAGACCATGCCCAAGAGCTGGACGATGCCCTGGTGTCCACTCTGCAGGCACTGGAAGCCCTGGCTGCTTCAGAGGATTGTCCACATCCCCCACCACAGCAGACAGCAGGTATTTCAGTGGCTGTGACTTTCGTTTTTCCTTATAGCCTTTATCGCTATGGTACATCCTTCCCTTTAGTCTTCTTCTCCTATCCTATATGTGATTGTGGAGCAGCTTCTAGTAAAAACTAAGTTGTGGTAACAGGCTCTAGCAGGAAAAGCCAATCTGCTGCTCAGAAGATTTCTAAGAAGCTGAGGTGCGACTCCTCTCTCTGATAGTGGCTGAAGGAGTCTCCTGTATCTGCCATGGTCCACGTGCCACAATGCTGGGGTGATGCACTAACAAACCAGTACTGTGAGCATGAGTACTGTTCCTCCCTGCTCTGACCCCACTCAGCTGGTACCTATGGCCCTTGGTCTTCGCAGGTTCCCACCCAGGTTTTGCAGTGTATGAGCCCTTCACAGGGCAAACCTGCTGTCAGATGGGTGTCTCCAGGACCAGCCTGCTGGCAGCACAGTCCTTTGTCCCCCTCCCTGCCTTGGTTGCCATACTGACTATGGCAAAGTAGCTGTCCCCTGATTTTCCTTCTTGCTCCAGGCAAGTCCCTGTAGCTCTGCTATCACTAACACTGGAAAGCTTTCCAGGACCTTTTCCTGGGCCAAGAGCTCTTGCTGAATTGAGCTAGTAAGCCAGCTCAGTGCTGACAAGTGACCTTGCTTAAAAGCATAAACTCTTAGTTCCAGGAAGTCACTGAAGTTTCTCTGATGGAATGCTGTGTCCTGCATTCCTGGAACCCTCTTGCCACATGGAGTTCCCCTCTCTTCCACATAGCAGTGTAGTGTGAGTTTTGTCAGGGGGTTTTCTTTGTGTCCCTCCTCAGGTCTTATTGTCCTGGCTGCCATCACTCCTGAGTCATCCTTGGATTCTGGCCATGAAACCAACTCTTCAGAGCTAACTGATGTCTCAGAGATGGTCTCTGCTATGAAGCAGCATCAGAATGCAGCCTACTTCCTCGCTCAACACATCAACAAAGAAAACCTCCTGGCCAGAAAGGACTTGCCTTTCCGAATCCAGAGCTGTGCTGCCCAGGCTGTTCTCACCTCACCCTACCCCCTCACCCACCAGGAGCCAAGCCCTTCAATGAAGCCAGCTTTCTCTCACCAAAGCGCCAACCTTATCAGTTGCAAGAACAAACAGGAGCAGCAGCATGCTGAGCAGAGCTACGCCTTGGCTGTCCAGCCGGTGCTGACCCCCCAGCTTAATGAGCAGAACAGGGGGGCTCCAGTGCCAGGCTCAGAATGCAAAGGTGCAGGCCACACAAAAGCTGCCTTTGAGGTATCTCTGCATGCCACAGCAGCCTCGAGCAGGGAGCAGGCACAGGATATACAAGAGACGATGCCCGAAGAGGTCCAGCCAAGCTCCAAGCTCCTCCTGGATCAAAAAAGTGGTGTAACTCCAGCCATCATTTCAGCTGCTCCGCAGCAAGTGGCAAATGCAAAAGGCTTAGCTCCCCAAGTGGTAGCAGCCTCAAAAGGGGGCAAGAACATGAATGGTACATCAGCCAGCAGCAAGCCTTTGAAACTTAAAGGAGGTCCACAAACTGCAGAGACATTATGCAACTGTCAGCAGCAGCAGCAACTCTCTCCGAAGCAGCACTGTGAAGTTTCTCCAAGTCCTAAAGTTGCTCATGGCAGTAAGGCTGAAGCTTTCCACCTCACCTCAGCAGGTGAGGAAATGATGCCTGGTAAGTCTTTTGCTTCTAAAAGCTACCAGCAAAAACTGAGTAGAGATATTGCAGGAAAAGCGAGTGGAGAGCCAGGTCTGAAGGCAGGTGGGGAAGCCACAAGCCTCGTCTTTCAGAAACACACAGCTCCTTCAAACCAAGGACAGAAAATGCAACAGGAAGGTTCAGCCAAAAGCTTAAAAGCTGAGAATCTGCACTCTCCATCACCCAGTAACACTTTCAGGAGCACCAGTGAAGAACCCAAAGGGCCAATCCAGCTGGTGTCCAGATCCGAGAGCCTACAGATCAGCACCATGCCATCCAAAAAAGTAGAAAAAGTCTTGGAGGTGACCCAACAAGATGCTGATTTCCCAGCTAAACCCAAAGCTCCAAAAGCTCCCTTCAGATTGAGGAACCTGTTCTCTGCAACATTTCCAACCCGGCTGAAGAAGGAAACAGATGAGCGGCAGGCCCAGCTGCAGAAGGTGAAGCAGTATGAGCTGGAATTCCTTGAAGAGCTGCTCAAGCCAAAGAGCAAAGGTGACCTCCCACCACAGGAGTATCTGCACCCTCCTGCCCCTGGGCGCTGCAGCTGCCAGCTAAGGAGCAGTCCTGTGCAAAAAGTCCCAGGGATGTCCAGGGAGCAAAGGCGCAGCTGTGACTGCAAGCGAATTTGCAGGGGGGTGAGGCCACCCTCTAACCAGTTGGTAATGCCAGAACTGGAGAGGCGAGAGAGGGACAAAGTTACTGATGACCAGAAGCAGGCAGAAGCCATTAGGTTGACAAGCGTAAGCAGCCCTTCCAAAGGCAAGCGAATACGATCCACAAGTTTAGAGTCCAGAGACTACCGGTCAGATCCAGAGAACAACATGTCCTGTTTGACAACGTGCACTTCCCGGGGGGAGTGCATAGGTGCTCCACACTACAGGAAGCTCTTGCGTCGCTACAGTGTCAGTGAAATAGATAAGACTGATAGGACATCCCTGTCATCTGACATCTACCAGAACATCTATACAACCAAGCAGAAAGGCCCCCAGAAAGAGCCTGAGCCCAGCATCCTTTGTCCTGTTCTGAAGAGCAAAATCCAGGAAGCCTCTGGATTGGGTGACTCCTCCTATGTCCAGATAGCACAGGAGAAAAAGAACCAGAAGGCTTCAGCAGTGTTCTCTGTCCAGGAGGAGATGTATCCAAATCCTGCTGAGCTGCAGGATGAAGACATGGAGGATGAGAAGTGCTGCTCCATCCGGTACTGCTTCTACTACAGGAAATGCGATGTTGCAGATGATGGGAGCGAGAAGGATGAGCTGTCCTATTCCATCCCCATGCAGATACTCCCAGGAATGAAGCTGGACAATCAGATGGTCCCAGTCATGAGCAGGACTCTTCAGGTGCTAGATGCAACAGCCTGCAGCAGTCCCAATGACAGCCAGACCCAGGAAATAGATTTAAGGACCTCCAGTTTTGAGGGGAGCTTGGCAAAGATCAACACCCTTCGAGGCCATGCCTACAGCTTTCCCAATGGGTTTCTGCAAGTGCAGCTGGACACCAATGAGCTCCTGACTATCCTAAGGCAGTGTGTGGTGAGCCCTGACATCCGGGACTGCAAACCTTACATCTCCCAGCTGGCTGAGTACAAGCAAGAGCTCACCCTGAAATTCAAGGAGTTTCGGGCATCCTGCCGCCGCGTGGCAGCCGTTGACAAGAGTCCTACCCACATGCTCTCCGCCATCACGAGCAGCTTCCAGGTGCTAAGCAGCCTCATCGAGACATTTGTGAGGCTGGTGTATGTTGTGCGCTCAGAGTCTCAGCGCCAAGAGCTGCTGACGAAGGTAGAGGAAGTGGTGAGAAACTACACCTTCCTCCTGAAGGCTGCAGAGGAGTCCACGGCCAGAACGCTGAGCCACCAGCAGACAGTGGAGCAGCTCACCCGCCAGTCAGCCACAGTTGCCACTGTCATGAGCACGCTCACGCGCTCCCTAAAGACACTGATCAATAAGTAAGCCAGCTACAAAAATCAACAAGCCAGTGTGTGCTAGGCCATGTGTTAGCGGTTCTCAAATCGCACAGGTCTGGTGTGAAAGTGTGTCTACAGGCCCACATCTACTGGGGTTTGCAGTAGTTGAGACACTCTTTTATCTCTGCAGAATGGATGGTTGCGTTGGTGGTGTTTTTGAAGGGTAAATTCATGCCCTGTTGCAAACTGTGCAACCAGTTCATCAGAGATCTCAAGCTCTGCTTGCTCTCCCATGCTGGCTTGTCAGTGACAGTACTTGGGGGGCACAATCACCCTGTCTCCATGCTAGTTTGGTTTCATGTGGTTTTGGGCCTCACTTGTGCAAAGACCTTTGTCACGATGTGTGGTGAGCCAGTAAGTTAGCAGGAACTAAGCTGAGATCTCCTGGCTTCACTTGGGCAGTTTGGAGACAAAACAGAATCTTGCCACGTAAACAGCTCTTCTGCCTCTAGGGTCTTCCTGGCCCACAAATGCAATGTAATTGGCAGTAGAAGGGATCTCTGGGGTGCAAGTCCCTGCTGCTATGCTAGGGCTTGGGAAGTAGTCCTAGCATGGGCAGGATGCCATAATCCTGGGGCAGAGCTAGGTCACCCTAGCAGGCTCTACTCTCACAGATTAGGCACCAACGCCCTCGTCCTGAGCACAGGTACTGCCTGTGCAAAAAGCAAGGGTTTAATGTGTGCAAGTAGGGAGGATCCAGAAAACTGAAGACCTGTCAGTCTGGCCTCAGTGCCGGTGAAGGTTATGGAGCAGATCATTTTAAGTGCCATCACACGGCACATGCAGGAGAACCAGGTGATAAGGCCCAGTCAGCACAGGTTTATGAAAGGCAGGTCCTGCTTGCCTAACCTGATCTCCTTCTACTACAAGGTGACCCACTTAGAGGATGAGGGAAAGGTTGTGGATGTTCTTTACTTGGACTTTAGTAAAGCCTTTGACACCGTTTCCCACAGCATTCTCCTGGAGAAACTGGCTGCTCATGGCTTGGATGGGTGTATGTGTACTTTTTGCTGGGTAGAAGACTGGCTGGATGGCCAGCCCCAAGGAGTTGTGGCGAACGGAGTTAAATCCAGCTGGCAGCCGGTCACAAGTGGTGTTCCCCAGGGCTCAGTATTGGGGCCATTTCTGTTTAATGTCTTTATCAACGATCTGGACGAGGGGCTCAAGTGCACCCTGAGTAAGTTTGCAGACAACACTAAGTTGAGCGGGAGTGTTGATCTGCTTGAGGGTAGCAAGGCTCTACAGAGGGATCTGGACAGGCTGGATCGCTGGGCCGATGCCAATTGGATGAGATTCAACAAGGTTTAGTTCTGGGTCATGCACTTGGGTCATAAAAACCCCTTCAACGCTACAGGCTTGGGGAAGAGTGGTTGGAAAGCTGCCTGGCAGAAAAGGACCTGGGGGCCTTGGTTGACAGCCGGCTGAATATGAGCCAGCAGTGTGCTCAGGTGGCCAAGAAGGCAAACAGCATCCTGGCCTGTATCAGAAACAGTGTGGCCACAGGACTAGAGAAGTGGTCATCCCCCTGTCCTTGGCACTGGTGGGGCTGTACCTCAAATACTGTGTTCAGTTTTAGGTCCTTCACCACAGGAAGGACACTGAGGTGCTGGAGCAGGTCCAGAGAAGGGCAACGAAGCTGGTGAAGGGTCTGGAACACAAGTCCTATGAGGAACAGCTGAGGGAACTGTGGTTGTTAAGCCTGGAGAAAAAAGAGGCTGAGAGGAGACCTTGTCACTCTCTACAACTACCTGAAAGGAGGTTGTAGCAAGGTGGGTGTCAGTCTCTTTTCCCAAGTAACAAGTGATGGGAAGAGAGGGAACGGCCTCAAGTTGTGCCAGGGGAGGTTTAGATTGGATATTGGGAAAAATTTCTTCACTGAAAGGGTTGTCAAGCATTGGAACAGGCTGTCCAGAGAAGTGGTTGAGTCACCATCCCTGGAGGTATTTAAAAGACATGTAGACATGACGCTTAGGGACATGGTTTAGTGGTGGACTTGACAGAGCTAGGTTAAGAGTTGGACTCAATGATCTTAAGGATCTTTTACAACCTAAATGATTCTTTGATTCTGTGATTCTGTGTTCCCCTTCCTCTGCTGGATGGCTGTGTCCACACTAGAGAGCCTGCAAGGAAGCCAGATTGATCATTGACCATTGCAAGCCAGAAGCAGGGCTAGCAGCTGAGAGGAGACCTATTTCACAAACCTCCAAGGCTCAACCCAAACCCTCTCCTATTTCCTTTCACCATGCCCATTAGAGAGGAACCCCAGATCAGCTTTGTCTGTGAGTCACAGCTTGCCCCTGAGCCAGGCAGTGCTACCGCCATCGGCCAAAGGAGCTGCCCTCCTTGCCAGGGCATTAGGGTCCTTTTCCTGTCTCCATCAGACTGACTGCCATAAGAAGCATTATTTAGTACTGTGTGATGGTTATTTATTTGGAGTTAAGGTTTTTGGATTGTTTTTTTTTTTTCCACTTCCAGGCAAATGTAAAATGATTCCCAATTGCTTCCCTTCACACCTTCCCCTCCTCCTCCCAGTCAAGCTTCTAGACCTAATCAATCAGAGCGCCTTAACTGGTGCTTCCCTGCAGTCACCCACACTGCAAAACAGATCAAAGATAAAAATGCAAGGTTACACATTGCATTGCCCTTACCCTGCCACCCACTGCACTTCATGTGTGCACAGGGAGAGCGGGTCCTGCCGGGGTCCCTGCACCTCTTCCCATTGCACACACCTCCAGCTGGAAAGGAGATCATGGCATCAGTCTCACAGCGTCAAGTGACAGCAGTTGTCAAACCCAGCCAGTGCATGATCAGGGATCGCTGTACTATCAATTGCTTCCCATCTCTATTATTTTTTATAAATACGCACATTCGAAATCTCTTGTTCTTCCATAAGAGTTACAGCAATGCACAATGTGCTTTTAACATGCGCGTCTTCTACCGAGTGCAATAACCTCCCCAGGCCATGGCTGTCCCAGACTTTGGCCATTGCTGTCAGCGAGTCAGAGAGGATCCTGCTGTGGGGGCAGCCTCCTGCTTTCAAGAACCATGTAGCAAATATACAGTGGAAGAGCCAATTCGGATTTCAGTCCGTGGTGGGCAAAGCCTGCTATAATGCTGAGGGCTGACAGGGAGTCATGTTTTTCTTTTCCCCGTAAATTATCTACTGCGGAACTCTGAGTTTCTTCGAGCTCCCTGTTATGCCTGTTATCATTCCTCCATAAATCTCTCAGTCTAATACAGAGGAAAAATTTTTT